GTTGGACTAGATGACCCACAGAGGTCCCTTCCAATCCCTGCCATTCTGTGATTCTATGTATTTGGGGTTTTTTAAACTTCACTGCCTCCCTTTAGCCTTACACTGGAGGGGTATGTCCCACCTTTCTGAAAGACAGTTTACACCAAAGCAAATGAATGCACATACCTAGGTAGGCACAGACAGTGTAAAACACTAATTCAGCATTTCATTTGTTGTTCATGTTTTTACAATTTATTTTTCCATTTTAAAAATGTCACATATCAATTTAAGAGGTGAAAGCATATTTGTCAGAAGTTGAAACTTTACCCTTGGTTAAACCACAGCCAAAGGAACAATCTTTACCTGAACAGCATTATGTATGTTGACGTGAACCCGAAAGTGTCAGACAGCAAGTGGCCTTGCTTTATAGGGGTATATTCCTTCTAAACAAAATGTTCCACTTACAAGCAACACAAAAGTATTGCTCATCCACAATTTCAATGCAACTGCTTTCAAACAATAGTCAGAAAACATTCTGGTGTCAGCACACCACAGAAAACAGTGTGGCTAAAACAAAAGAAGCCAGACAGAGTGAGATACATAAATCAGTAGGCAGAACACACATGCTCAAAGTGGAACTTCCCACAACATGGAAGAACCATCTTCTGTTTACAGCCTTGCCCACGAATAATCAAAAAGCAAGCATACACCATCCATATTTTCTCTTCTTAATGTCAGCTTACAAATATTGCAAAGCAACTATGACCTTATACATCTTTTAAGGCAACTTGTCTTTCTGAATGGCTAATGTATTTTGTATGGATCTAAAAATGGATTTGTGGCTGTTAAACAATCCAGTTGGTCTCTAAAACTGAACAACCATTGTTCTTTAGTTCCCTGTGTTTTATATTAATAGCAAAATAAAATACTTGACTTTGAACTAGACCCTCATGCAATCAAGCATGGACAACCAGACAACATTTGCAACATTACTGGCATCATGACACAACATCCTGTGTATGACTTTGGGCATCACGGTTAGAACATCATCTCATCTAGTCCATCCTCCATAAACTTCTTGTAAATTGCCATAAACTTTGCTACAAATGCTTCCAGATGATAAATGGCTTTGCTGCCCAGTTGCAGGCGGTGTTCATAGAAGGCTGCCATCTGTGCAACTTCTCCTTTCAGCTGTCCATCACAGTTATTTAGAAGTTCTGTCAGAAGGCCCTAAAAGGTGAAAAAGCAGGACAGTATTTGAAAAACTATATATTTTTTTCTTAAGAGGATAACCTAATTTCTCTGAAAATACCCAAGCTATGACCAGTATTTCACTCATGAATACAGCAGAAAAGGTATTCAAGAATCATTACGTGACCTATTTGACAGAACTACATTCAAAGCACCATGTCTTTTCAGAACCTTCTTTCAAGATAAACTCCTCATGTCCAAATAGATGTTACCTATTGTGTTCTTAGATGGAAAAATCATGTATCGGAGCTACTTATACCTTAATAAAGTAAGTTACCCTCATCTCCAAATACTACAACCTCTACTGCATGCAGGCATATGGCCCTGAGGAGAAATTTTACCAAGATAGCAAGTATATTAAAATCACTTCTTATCTCGACAGCATCAAGCACAAAGAGGAACAACGTTAATAAACAACAAGGAAAGGGCTTATTTAAATTTTAAGTATATCTGTTTACACTTGTATACACACACGTGTTGACACACACAAGGTACTTTACAACAATACTTCAGTCATTACAAAAAACAAAAATGCATAATTTTAGATCCAAGACAGCAATAAAATCACTGCAAATCCATCTCTATTAAAACACTCCGGAGTGAGAAGTATCTCTATGCCATTCCAAGTTTACTAAGAAGGAGCAGGTAGAGAACAACCACCTTTGGCCTGACAACATCACTCCTCAAACAGGGCACTGGAGGATCCACTAAGCTACCATTCATTGTCTGATGGTAAAGTACACCTAGGGTAACTTGCAAACATTAGCTTTAATCCTTGTTCTGCTCTAGTTGTCTTCAGCATCCTTTCATCCTGCCTAAAATAAAAACATAAATGTCCCATTTGCTTGCTTCCTCCCAAGATGACTTGCATCTTTGAAGAGACCTGCTGGTCTAGCATCCTTCAGCAAATCTGTCCATTAGGACACAGCAAATAATGAACTCACAACAAAATTTTACAAAACAAAGCAATCCATATCAAAATTAGCCCATAAAATATGTTTATGCTTCAATACATAAACTGGCCTGAGAAGTCTTCAGGGGGACAAAGCACATCCTCCTTTGTTTTACTGAGCTATGATGCTGCTGTTCTGTGATCACTGAACAAGTTTTAGTAAACCATTCAACAGAGGTGTGAACAAGGAAGCCTGCAACAAAAATAAACTAGACATTTACATTTTCCAAACTAGAGAACAGAATGTTCCTGTCCCCAAAATCTACACAACTCAAAACCATCATGCCTAAACATATCGAGGCATGAACCAAACTACACAGTCTAGTATTAATTGATTGAGGATCACGAGAAGCGAAGGCTACGCATCAGTGTTTGCAGGAACAGGGTCTTTAATTACCGCTTCAGAGTGATAACTCAAACTATTTTGGTTACTTGAGTAAAAAGAAACGCAAGAGAAAAGTATCTTTTGATCACTCATGTCTATTTGGAAAGGACACAGCTTTTCATCAGTATTTGGACAATTTGTGATATTCTGGTGTCTTTTTAAAAAAAAAAAATCAAAAGCGAGACCATCATAGAGTTAATATTTATAACAGATTAAGAGCTAGACAGCTGAATTACCTTCATTATAATCTCAGGAGGAATGCAGTGTGTCAGGAGTTCATAAAGCCGTCCGCGGACCTCTAAAAGCCTGTTGGAAAGACACCAAAAAATATCAGAAGTATGTCCCCAAAGCATACTAATGTGCTTTCGCTATTTGTGAAATATGCTGCAGGGAAAAAAGTCAACCCAAGCAAAGTTGTTCTTTTCTGGTTTTGTGTGTTATTTTAAATCCAAAAGCACTGCACAAGTCAGTAGTTTCAACTCAAATGCTCCACATCACCTTTTATTCAAAACAGTAAGGTAAATTACATATACTCTAGTTACAATGGTATCAGTTAATCTAGAAGCTACAAGTCTACGAGCATTTGTCTCAGGCTTGTCTCCCTTTAATTTCTCTTCATATACAAATTATTATTCACGCTTAAGATTAGTGAGAAGACACCAAAAACTTTATTACAGCTACAAGATTCTATTATGCTGTTTTTCTGTCTTCCTTGTTTACAAGAGAGGGGTAAGTCGGTAACTCCATCACTTTCTGCCTCCTAATCAATTCTCAACTTTTGATATCGGGAGGTCAGAGGCTACAAGGATTTAAATTTAATACAAGAACTTAAGTGGCATCTCATGTAATATGAACAGACTGAAAGGATCAGGCCATGTATATAACACCAAGATGGATAAAGGGGGCAACTCCTAATGTGCTTAAAAAAGGCAATGATTTCTCATTTCCAGTTTGTTTACAAAGGTGTATTATGCTAAAGCTGGTGAAACAGAAGCCTTAAATAAAACCAACCTCCCCCCCAAAAGACAGACAGCACAACACACAACTAAGCTTATGCTCACTTTTGATTACAAAGCTTCAGCAGAGAAAACTAACAATTGTTTCGACTCCTGAAGCTCATTCAGTCTCCTTTGATAATTTTAAAGCTCGCTTCCTCTGACTGCAAAGTACCAGTTACAGTCGAAATGCCAGAAAATTACATGTAACTACAGTAAAGATGCCACTTTTTTAGGTTTGAGAGTACACCAGAAAACAAATTTATAGCTGCAAGCAAGTGTATTCACCCACCTTTGTGGTGTCTGTTGACCAACAATAGCATTCGCAGTTTCTCTCAAATAAACCTCCCAGTCCATCTCAGGAATGTCTTGATCAGCAGTAAAAGGATACCTATATAACAAAAGTACTCTTAAAAAATTAAAATCAAAGCAAATCATCATCTATTCTAACAAAGCCTCAGAAGTTCATTCATGCGTCTGAAAGTATGATTTACATTAATTTTTAGCAGTAACTTACTGTTGCACTCTGCAGGACTCACACATCAGTAGTGCTTTCCGAAGATTCCTGCCAGATTTCTCCGCAAGCCTTTGAGCCAGTTCCTGAGGAAGAGTCAGGCCTTCCTTCTTACACACACTGGACAAGACATGGCAGATCTAGATGGGAAACAGACAGCAGGGAATGCAACACTTAACATACAGTTTAGCACCCATAGATTCTCCAATTTTAAACATTTCTGGTCCAGAGATGGACCAGTCTTTCACAAGACGTGCTTGACAAGACACCCATCACAAAGAAAAACTAAGTCACTTTGTGGAAGTAAAATATTTCTCAAGTCCACAGCAAGAAAAAAATAACCTATTTTGGCTTCTGTTTCAACATACATCTTCAATGCTGGGAGCAGGCACTCGTACAGCCAGGCATCTGCTTTGAATAGGTCCTATAATTTTTGACATGGAGTTGCAGCACAGGATCAACCTGCAGGTTGCCATGTATTTCTCCATTGTTCTTCGCAAAGCATGCTGAGCATCTTTAGTGAGTTTGTCGACTTCCGTTAACAGCACCACTGAAAAAGGATTAAAAATAGTGGGTTTTTTAGTAGTATCAAATCTTTCTAAGAAAATCAGTAGTTTGACACACAAGCAGTAATACCAAAACAAATTATACAAGCAGAAAAGGCAGCATGGTTCCACAGACAGGAAAATAAAGATTAAGACAATCTGCGTGTCTTTTTGACTGTATAATCTTCTGCTCCTTCACACCCCATATTAATGTCCTGGAATTATCAACTTCTTCAGAGCAGGGCCTGCTACACTTCCATGCCAAGAAATAATCGAGGTAGGCATAGAAGCTTTCACTCTGCCAATTAATACAGTAACATTTTAAAGGAATTTTTAAGTAAGAAATGCAGAAGAATTTACGGCATAAGGATGTATCAGAAAGCAAAATTTCTTGAAGACTCCTCTCAACACATTTTATATTTAAAAGCCAATGTTTCAGCTTAACAAAGGAGTAGTCGAAAGCTGCCTCATTATTGTAGCTGCAGCACCTTTCCACAGTCTTTTAAATAAAAAATTATTTCAAAAATACTTCAGAACAATCAGGAGACACCTAACATGAAGCAGCTAACCTAACCAGCTACCTTCTGCAGGTTCCTCCATAGGCAACTCAAACACGGCTCATTTCAGTGCTCTGAACAGTCCAGTGAGAACAGCCTGGAGGAACGAGTCAGACCACTACTCTATTCCCATTTCTCTTCTGGTTACACCTGCAGCCTAAGGAGACCAGCCAGCTTACCAGAGACTTTGAGGTGCATGGTATGACTGCAGCCGTAAGGATATATACACTAATAACTGGTAGAGCCAGTCAGCATCTAGCAGCTTCGGTTAAATATTGTATTTCCTGAGAAAAGTGAGGAAAATATCACAAAGTACTGAAGGAAGGGGTTAAAAGAGATTTTAATAGAAGTGGCATTACCTAATAGCTGCTGTGCATTGGAAAAACAGTGCTTATCTATTGTCTAAATTAACTGAAGCAGAGAGTCTTGCATCTCCATACAAAGGGGTTAGTTCCTGATAGGGGCTGGGAGTCACAGAATCACAGAATAGTAGGGGTTGGAAGGGACCTCTGTGGGTCATCTAGTCCAACCCCCCCGCCGAAGCAGGGTCACCTACAGCAGGCTGCACAGGACCTTGTCCAGGCGGGTCTTGAATATCTCCAGAGAAGGAGACTCCACAACCTCCCTGGGCAGCCTGTTCCAGGGCTCCTAAGGTCCCCTTGCAGCCTTCTCTTCTTCAGGCTGAACAAGCCCAGTTCCCTCAACCTCTCCTCGTAGTGGAGATGTTCCAGTCCCCTCACCATCCTTGTAGCCCTCCGCTGGACTCTCTCCAGTAGCTCTTCATCCTTCTTGAACTGGGGAGCCCAGAACTGGACACAGTACTCCAGATGAGGCCTCACCAGGGCAGTGTAGAGGGGAAGGAGAACCTCCCTTGTCCTGCTGGCCACACTCTTCTTGATGCACCCCAGGATCCCATTGGCCTTCTTGGCAGCCAGGGCACACTGCTGGCTCATAGTTAACCTGTCGTCCACCAGGACACCCAGGTCCGACCCTGCTGTATGGATGGGAGCCAGAAGAGAACTGAGTTTGCGCAGAAACAAAGGTCAGTCAGCGAACACCATGATGAAGAGAATGGGCCTTCATCTTGGGACCCCTGACGACCACCACTAGGAGGCAATGCACAAATGCAGCTGGGAGGAGTCTACGGATATTACTTCTTGGAACTAATTATAATATGGAAATTATTTCCCGGAACAGATTTTAATATGAAATGAGGACAGATGCATATAGGCGTATTAGGAAATCTAATGTATATGTAATATTTGATTGTATAAATTGAAGAGACAAGTTGCTGCTCGGCGCGCACGACTTTGGTGGGACTACCCCCCGTGCTGCCCAGCGCTGAACAGACATACCTACTTTACAATCTTAGACTGTGGAGTCTGCTTTCCGCACGTCAGTACTAAGTCCATAACCATTTTCAACTACTTTCTACTCTACTCTATCTGTTAAGACTTCCTCTCTCCTTCAATCTCTTGCTTTATAGTTCAGATTTTGCTTTCAGTTTAGTCACGAAGAAGAAAAATAAGCCAGTTTTAGCAACATGTGTCCTGGAAAACTCAGTGAAAGCTTTCTTCATTTTCTTACCCAATGTCCTTCCACATGCTATGGATAAAATGCTTCTAAACTTTCTGCCTGAGACAGCTTATACCCCAAAATGCTACAGATCAGCAGCTAACACCTAACTTACACAGCATGATTTGCCATACGGTTGTCCTGCCCCTCAACTCAATACTAAGCCTCAGCAGCTGATAACTACTACTGTAGATCATTAAACTAAGTTACAGTGCATTTCAGTGGCAGACTTGGAAAAAGAAAGCAGGAATCCCAGCTCCCTCTGCCCAGCCACAGACATTCAGGTACACCCTACAAACAAAACACATAGCTGAAATCTCTGAAAAACAATCTTAAAAAGTACTTTGACTTGTTTTAACTGTTTTTACTCACCTTTAAAATCTCGTTGAGTACTCGTCTCAAGCTGTTGGGATTGTGCTACTGTCTTCAAGAGTTCCTGAATTACTACACGGTCATTGTTTCCTGCATCACTGTACCAGGAGTTTGAATAAAACTTGTTTTAAAAGAACTTTACACTGCATATAAAATACATCCTCCTAAGCAGCTCCTTGGTCAACTGACTACACGTGAATGCCAAAAGAATTCAGAAGCTGTTGAAGTTAGAACTAAGCTCAACGTACATACTTCGTTGAAAGTTACTTTCCCAATAATAAAAACAACCCAAAGCTTATGCAGGCACAGCTGGATTAGTAGCACTGTATTGGGAAGTAGTTGTCAAATATTTTATTAAGTCTTTAAAAGAGAACTTTTTTTCTGCTATGAGAAGTCTAAACTTTCGCTACTTGCAATTTGGGAGAGATACGCAATGTGGACATTTTTACCCATTATGGGAAGAAAAATTAAGTCTAACCACACAGCAGGATGCCTGACTGAAAGGACTGATGTAAATGCATAGGGTTTTTTCCTCTGAAAATTAGATGTCATGCTATGAACATCCTATACGCTTAATGTAAACTTGAATGGCAGGCACAGCGAAGTTAAAGAGAGTTACTAGTAAAAGATTGATACTCAGATACTATTACAGCACAGATTGTTCACTTTTTTCCTCTTAGAAAGCAGGAAAACATGGGGAAATACTAGATTTCCTTCCTGCCCCTGCTCCTTACCATCCCCTACAGTTGCACTGCACAGCCTTCTCAGTCCCCAGGTTAGTAGCTCAGCTAGCTTGACTCAGGTTTGACAATCACTGGGAACTGACGTGCAAGCGACATTACTGAAAAAGCAAAGAAAAAGAAGGGAAAAAACCCCACACTCTTTAGCATTCCCAGACTATTGCCTTCTCAGAGGCAGCAGTAGCTCCACAATATTTCACTGCAAGCAAATGAAAAAAGCATTTGTCTGTCCTGCTGTAGTCAACACTCAACCTGACCTTCTCCATTCTTGCCAAGAAGGTGGTTGCAGAATGGACAGAGGCATACTAGCTCATGATCTGCTGAACAGGCTACGCTGAGTCTGATTGCAGAGATCTGCCCTTCAGCAAGGGAGCAGACCAGCTATCACAGTGCAAAAAATAAAAAGCAAAACAAAACAAGCCATTTGTACTTGTGAGGCCAATTTTTGGAAGCGGAAAGTGATTAAAATAGTTTCCTAACATCTAAAGATAAATTATTCTCTACAGTAACAGAGAACCCAGAGTTGTAATTTCAAGGTGAGAGATTATCCTTGATATTATATGACCACACCAAACATTCCATAAAAACAATGAACAAAGGCAGCTACCACACAAACATTTAATTTTTGTTGTTCCTTATTCTTTCATTACCCACTTGCTCAGGAGAACCCATTTTACAGCATCTACCCAAACTAGTGAAGCAACCAGCACACAACACTTTGGAATTCAGACAATATCCTTCTTTTGGAGGAAAAAGCACAGTGCTATCTCAAAGTTCTGTAATGAATTCAACGTCTGCAGAGTCCTTCCCAGAAGTTAATTTCCTTTCCCTGTTAGCCATTTATCATGTTCCATGTTGCTCAAGATGCACGACATGATTTCACAGTATTATAATTCAATCAAACTTCACACGGCACACGCAGGTTCACTGTCTGGTCAGACAAACATGACAACTGGTTGATTACTTAATGCCTAAGAACCGATATCTTAATTCTTAATCAGCACTACTGTTATACAGAATAACCAATACAGCAGTTCTACACTTGCAATTGTTTTATGTGTTTCAAGCTAGAAGTACTCTGTGGAAAGTAACAGAAGAAGTATTAGTAGCATTAGGTTATTAGATCAGAAGATTGAATGGACAGACGTTTTATATCACCAAAATGACATATTCACACAGTTCATTACCATTAAAAGTCTCAGGTTTAATTATTTGGGTTTGTATTAGAATACCAGCAGATATTCACTCATCAATACACAGAGATTAGCTGCAGAACAAGCTCTTAAAGGAGACATGGTACACGAGAATAGCTTCTAAAATGCAGAGCAACATGAGAAAAGATTTAGCGATAAGCACAAAGCTCAAAGTTACTTCAGGACACACACTGTCTTATAACTGCAGCCCAGACAACAAAGCCAACATAACCAAAGCATCCCAGTGCACAATGACATTTACTCTCATGTGATTTAAAGCAACATTAAAGGGTTTCAGGTAAATACAAGTCTTTACTTTGGGTCAGTGAACTACCACCAGCAATTTCACAACTGTCAAAGAAGACATACAGTACACCATTATAGTTTCTATCGTTTATATCAACATCTGACCTCACTCATGACAGGATTCCCAGTATTTTGTGGTGTTCTTTCCCATGCTCTAAACTCTTTAAAGAGTTGCTGGGTAAACCTTTCTTACTTTCAAATCACTTTGTTTTTGCATTTGTGAAGTAACTAACAATATGGGAGTGTTGGTTCCAATAAAAGTTCTCAATTTCAACTGAAATGCTTAAATCTACAAATCCAGAATTGTTTCTGTTACCCATTCCTCAGCAATGGCATGCTTACACGGCTAGTTAAGCAGAACATTACTGTCCTTAAATGAGCAAAAAATTCAGATTGCTGTATACTAGAGCTGTTCAATTAAAAATCCTCTCCATGCTCCTATTTGCAGTCCAGACCCATCAACCATTATCTAATTTTCTCCAGCAACAAACTGTGCAATAGGGCCTTTATACACCCAGGTTGAAACCACTTGCAATACGACCAGTGACTTATATTTGAAGTGGGACAATTTTACTGTACACTTACCTTGGGTTAACTTCAAGGTGATAATTACTTGCAATGGTGCTAATTTCAATTTTCTTTTTAGAAGGTGCCTATGTAGAAAGTAAGCATATTAAGTTTCAGAAGGAGTATTCTAAAGATTTGATGCAAAAAATTATCTTGCAGATTACAACTGGCTAAGTCACAGACAAACCACAAGTCTCAACAATCAAAGAACTGCTGAGACGCTTAGACTGCTGCATCTCCTACCCCCAACCCCACCTCCAAAAGAGGAGCAGTGACACATCATCCAGCCTGTAAAAATAACAGCAGCAACAATTATTATAGCAACACATTGTACATATCGCTGCATACTGCAGTTATTGAGTTTTGTAACAGGAATTATTATTATTGGAATCAGGCACTCAAAATAAGCGATACTTTGTCCCTCCCAAGAAAAGTTTTGGAAGGAAAACCTCTGGACAAGCCTGAAAAGACTGTTTACGTCTCTTGGCAAAGGATTTCCAGTCTATACTTTGTTTAGAGAAAACACTAGTATTTATATCACCACTGAATTTGGGTCTGAACAGTTACCTATATCCTGTATTTCTGTCATCCAGTCCAAGTATTACATTTGTTCCACTACTGAGAATTAAAAGGCAAGCACCGAATAACCTACTTATCAATAAAGCCCGATAATCCATTGCCTGGTTAAGCCTTCCATAACAAGGATTTTGAATGGATAACATACCCTTCTAATAATAAACAATTAAATGTCTAAGACCAAGGCAGATAGCAAAAAAAAAAAACCAACCCAAAAAAACAATTTAAATTCTAAGGCTGAAATTGTCGCTATGGGAATGAGAAAATAAGTTAAAACATGCATATGTGCAAAAAATAGTGCTAATAATTTTTAAAATAAGGGTTATTTCTACAGACAAATGAAAATCTATACATCTAATTGAGAGCTAGTCTATTACAACACATGCTATTGTCCAAATCAACCTGTAAAAAAAACCAAACAACCCACCCCACACAAAACCAACCAGCCATAAAAAGCAGCAAAAAAACCCCACATCCTGCCACCCATGAATACCTAAGGAACAAGAATATCTGGCAAAAGTATGTGTTCATGTAACCAAACTAGTCTGATTAGTTACATAGAAAAGCTTGAAGATACTGACTGCAAAAGAACGTATTTTTAAAACTCAAATAAATATAAAGGCCTCGCAACCGAAATATGTTGGTATCTAAATACCCAAGTTACTTTGAAGCAGATGGGAGATTAATTTTTTTACCGTTATACTCTGATGCTCAATCCTCAGTTTTTCCACTCCTGCACCATATAATTCCCTTAACAAACACATTATTCTTGTCTTTTTTCCAGCTCCTGAGGGTCCATATACCAACAGATGAGGGAAGTCACCACACTGAACCTGAACACAAAGCAAGACTATTAGTTAGCTACAACTATATCTTCCCTATAGAAGAGTATTCATCCCTCCATTCTCACCCACGTTTACACGGTATGACTTTTCCAGCTCAGTCACAACATAACACCTAGAATTAGAACTGCTGAACTCTTTTCCCGCAGCAATATTTCCTGCAGATCATATTTTTCTGAAGGTCACATATAACTCATTTAACTCCAAACACTTCCCCCCTCAAAAATAAATAAAAAACCCCACACCAAAACAAACCCCCAAACAACAAAAAGCCACCCCAGCATTTACACGCTTTCAAAGGTTTCTAGAGTGACAGCACCAATAAACACAGAGTAAAAAGGACTAAAGCAAAGTTTAAAGCAGATATATATACATATAACTATGATACATATGCATATACATAATTACTTCACTGTTTCACTTGCAAGCCTTGAATCTGGGCAAATGAGTAATAGATAGCCCCTATTTAAATGAAGTCGGGAGTTTGTTTCTCGAAAAGCGAAAGAGCGTGACCTGGAGAAGACCTGACCAAACCCCACGGTCAGAGTTTACATTAGCTAGAGAGTCCAGTGGCAGAGCAGCACCGAGAGGGCCAGTCAGCCCAGCAGCCCGGGGAAGCCGGCACGCCTGGCCGGCGAAGC